TTTTTTTTTTACATACCGTATTATACCCCACCTGAAGGCAGTGTTGTTTTCTGCACCATCACATCTGGCAGTCTCCAGGTGGCGCTGTCTTCGTCCCAGACAGCATCCTTCTTCAAGCGGTCCAGGTTGCTGTAGTTGCAGTCACGGCGCACCAGAGGCACCATACGCTCCAGCAGGCTGTGCAGGAGCTGCCCTTCCTTCTCCAGCCTGCGTATAGTCGCCAGGTAGTCATTCCTCTCCACCTCAAACTCTGCCTGCAGGTCACGGATCTCCAGTTTGGCTGCTTTCAGCTGTTGCAACAGTGACGAAGCATGTTATTCATGAGAAAACTAGCTAAAACCCACTTGTTAAAAACGTGTCATATGTAGGGGTTGACATTCAAAGAGAGAACCGTTTTAACACACCAAATTAGTAAATCCCTGAAGAGATAACCTAATTTTTCCAGGTCAAAAAAGTTAATAAATTGCCCAATTTAAATTTAGTCAAAGTCACCTTCTAATATATCTCCAGACCGCTGCTGTTATTTTGGTATCACTATTTTGGAAGTCCATTGTACTTGTGCCTCTACAATGAGTGTTGGATCTTGCCCAGTGTTTCAAAACAGGGAGTATAATACTTTAACTTGATTTTGGAGAATTGTACAAAGTCGTGGGAAAGATGGTGAGCAAAGACTGGGTTTTTGTGGCTGAAAAACTGTTGCCTTTTCAATGTGTGGTGATGCTGTTGTTAAGGCTCTTTCCACTGGATGTTCTCCCACAGATGCCCCAGGATGTTAACGCACAAGTATGCATTTATAGTCTGAAAGTGTGGTATGAATTCGCAATGTACAATCCCACTCTGGTGAACTTGCACTGTTGTCAAAATTTGACTTTTAAGGAGTAAACTTTGTCAAGAGCAGGGGTGCATGAAAAGGAGATCTTAGGGAGGAGAAATAGATTTCTGTGGGTGGATAACCCAAACTTTCTGATCGCTCCTTGAAATGTACAGAAAACCCTTAACACATATGCTTTCTCCCAACAGAAAGATTGCATTTTGCATCTGCTGTAAGCTCCTTCGAACTGCTTCCACTCACCTTGCCCTGAACTTTGACTAGCATTTGGTTTTTGGCATGGACTTCTTCCTGGATAGAGTTGTAGACATTCAGCAGCACATTTTCGCTCTCCTCGCTGTTCTCTGACAGAGCATGGACAAGCTGAGCTTTTCTCTGGTCAGCAAGTTTTTTTCTCTGCCGCTGTCTTTGTTGCAGCTCTTTGTTCCTGGCCTGCTCCCCTCCTACCACCTCCTGTTCCAGCTGCTGCAGTCTGAGGAAAGATTGAACACCAAGGACACCGCATAGATGCGTGCTTAGTATAATTCTTGCTATATTATTCTAGTGTAACCATCAATGTATGATATGTTAAACATAACTGTTCTGCTAATTACCAGATTATGGTAATAACACAGAAGAATGCAATGATGTAAAAGAATGCAAGGGTAAGTACATACAGAAAAATATACAGCTGGAATCTGATTATCCACTCCATTTGTAGCCACAAGCATAAGTATGACACATTCATCATGGAGTGTGATAAGAAGATTGTAGATACCATCATAACAATATGTTCAGTATCCTGTGAACAGTGTTGAAAATGCTCACAACCCAGACCCATAAGGAGTAGAAATTAGATGGATCGGCTGATTAAGACATATCATATATAATAATAAAATCATAGCTATGAATCTGAGGAAGTGTTCATGTTAAGGAAAGTTTCCATGATTAGAACAGAAGCCTACAAACCTTTCCAGGACGTGTTTCTGGTCTAGAGGCCCCGGTGCAGTTGCATCAGAAGACTCCAAGAGTCCAGCTCTATCTGGATCTTTTTCGGAAAGCTTGCTCGCCAACATGAGGGAATAAAATTCAACATTTTGCCTACATAAGATTGCCTTGTTACCTTGTTTCAGGATACAAATATGATTTGAAGAGGAGTGATCTTTATGGAAAGTGGGGCTGGACACTACCTTAGTTTGGGAGGTTTCCTCAACTGTACTGTGGCACATGGGATCAGTGCTCATGCAGAGTTCTTCCAAAGCAACCTGGGATGTACAGCTGGCGCCCACTAATGTAGAGAAGCGGCACAATACAAAGAAGCATACATGGGGAGAATCCAACAGCGGAAAACTTTTGTTCTGTTGTTGGCACAGGATGTGCTGTTACCATTCTTGGGGACAGAGCTCCCCCTGCTGACTTTGGCCTTCTCCAGACTGGACAGTTTTGATTCATAGGAGGAACGCAAAGCAGCAATGTCCTCCTGCAGCTTCGCCTTGGATTCCTGCTCTGCATTGTATTCAGCCTGCAACTTGGCCAGCCTCTCCTCATACTCCTGCAGAGACAGCAGAACACAGATCATAAATCACAGGCTCTTTATACAATGCATGCTTAAAGTTGAAGTGATAAATTGTTGTGTGGGATTGGTCCATGTTTGCCTCTTTAATCTTTTCCTTCCTTTCTTCAGTGGGGGTGGACTGTGGCCTTGAGGGCACAGCAGGGGATGACTCAGAAAACTGACCAGCCAGCAGAGCTGCATTTTAAATAAAAGTGGTTTTTTTTTATAGCACTGGTAATTAAAGAAAGACAACATGCAAGAAAATAAAATATTTCTCTGCATCTAAAAGAGGCTATGTGTAGATTTAGGAATATTAAGCTAAAAAAGCATGCTGTTTTTCTATAAAAATTTACTTGAAAGGTCAGCAGTGCTCAGCTGGCCTGTGAGGAGCGCCCGCAGCTTCTTGATTTCCTCCTGATACTCTCGGAGCAGAGCATCCTTGGGGTCCTCGTTGATGCGAGGCCTGTTCTGGATGCTCTTGGCCCGGTTTGCATATCGCAGTGTACTTAGGCTTTCCTCATAATTGTTGTCTGCGGGCGAAAGACAGGCGATCATCAGGGTGCGGGTGTTTCCTCCCAAAGAGTCCTGCAGCAGCCTGGTCAGCTTGGAGTCTCTGTAGGGGATGTATTTGGAGCGTCCATCTACCAGGGCGGAGATGACGTTTCCCAGGGCCGAGAGGGAAAGATTGATCTTTGTGGCTTCGCGGAGTCGCTCGCCGGTAGCACCAGTTTTAGACTGACGCTCACTTCCTGCCAGGTCCACAAGGTTGAGTTTTCCTGCCCGTAGATGGTCCTGGTCAGACGAATCTGAGAATTTGAGTTGACACAGGAAACACAAGCAACATTCAACACTGTTACAAAGCCTTATTATTTACCTTTATTAACCTGGTATGTTTTATTCAATGGTTTGAAAACTACATGCAAGCACAGGCAGGATATGCAAACTATTAACAAGGAGATTCATATACTATCAAATTTAAAGATATAGTGCCACAGAACAAAAATAACTGATGGTAAAGTGCTGATGACATTATGAGATATAAGAGGATCACATTCAAAAGTAGAATATCAGCACAGACTGAACAGATATAGTGAAGACAAAGATATTATAAGTTCACCAGTGCTGCAGATCTCCAGGTGGATGGTGAAGATTGAGTGGGAGCGTGAGGAGTCTTTGTTCATCAGCGTGTAGCCCACTGCCCGGTTCCTCCAGCCTTTCTCTATGATTCTTTCACACTCTCCCACACTGTGCACAGTGTGCATGGAAAGGTCCCGTACATATACCCCACGCTCTGGGTGCTCTTTCAGCTAGGCATTCATCAGCCACACAAAGCACACACATACGCACAATCAGCTAGTCTGTCACCCTGTTACAACACCTTGACCTTTAAGGAATCAACTGTACGTTTAAATCACCATGGCAACAGGTACAGTACTGTGCAGAAAACAGCACACTCACCTTGCTGTACTAACCAAAGAACAATAATCCATTTGGCTTCTTCTGATACAGTGTAGCCTGTTTAGTTTATCTAAAAAGCAGGGACTCACCTCCAATCTCTGCTTGGCATCACTTCCCAAAAGATCTCGGATTTCTTCATTGTAAATCTCCAAGTAGGAGGCCCTCACCAGGAATTTCGTATTTTCTGCACACTAGCTTGCACACACGAGATAAAACATATAATTATTCTATCAGTGCTGAGACGAGCCTAGACAAAAACTAAGAGCATAATATTACGTATGCTTGTTGCAAGCTACGAGATCACTGTGGTCAACAGACACACCTGAATGCTCTCAAAGATGTGTTCAAAGGCCCGCGGGATGACACCCTTCTGGGTTGCAGGTTCAGACACCCCTTGCATGGTGAAAGACTTTCCACTTCCAGTTTGTCCATAAGCAAAAATTGTCCCATTGTATCCCTCAGTCACACCCTGTAAAAGTGACATTTTTTAATTTTATTTAATTTTGAGGTGAGCAAAGGGTATTCACAATGACGCCTGCATTCATTAGGAATTAGATATAGGCTACTGATGTTAGGCTGAAGGTGTCCAGTGACAAGCGTGCTTCTTTTATAGAGCCCAGCTCTGCAGGCTGGTAATAAAATCAAGCTTACCTCAACCAAAGGATAAGCAATCTCGTTGTACATCTGCTCAGTTGTTTGATCAATATAGTAGGTCCCATCAAAGGTGAACTGTTTAGGTGGCTCATCCACTGCACCTGGCTTTTCTATGAAGCACTGGCAGCGCTGCAGGTTCATGGACAGCACCATCTTACAGCTGAGCGCCTTCTCCCTGTCATTCAGGGGCCTGCACCTGACCACCACCTTCACCGACTCTGACCCCATGTCTCAAGAATCACTACCGAGCAGCTGGCAGGTGTAAGAGATAAAACTGATGTAAAATACAAAGCCGCTCCGGTCTCCTTCGCAAACACTCAACGTTTACTTAGAAGTACGACAGCAGGACCTCGATGGCTAACATCACCTTAACAACAAGATGACAGCAGCAGTTGACTAACGGCCCACATCTCCAGTGAGGTTCAGTAAGAAGCGATCAGCAAAAATATCTCCAGGTACAGTGTGGACGGATCTCGTCAGGTATCGCTTCAGGTCCTGTCCCATTCTGTTCCTCTCCCCGAGGCGTTTGAAGTTGCTTAGCAACGACAAGTAACCATTGAGGAATGTAACAGGCCCAGACCCGCAGCCATTTCCGTGAGGACGGAGTGAGGTCAAAGGGCGAAAAACAGTCTACTTTATGCTTCATTACTGTCAAGAAACTAAAAGTGAAAACATATTTTAAATAAAGCAAACAGACGTTTAAAGAGAAAAGAAAGACTACGGATGCACGTTATGTTCAGTTGTTATTTAATGTTTTGCTAATAATCACAATCTTCTGTTGTGAAACTAATGTAGGGGGGTGCAGGTAGATGGTGTGCAAGCTATGAACAAATCAACTATAGTCAAGACGACACAACATGATAACCACAATCCCAGAGAATGATTGAAATCATTTTGTACCATTTATACTCGACCAATGAAAACTCTGAACAGAAATTTAGTCATATTAACAGATGCGACATTATCAGCTAAACAAACTGCATACAAAAATATGAGTAAAAAGGAGTAAAAGTTTTACATTTCAGTAACATTGTTACTAGACAAGGAAACAAGAAGAAAAAGTGTGGCTTTGCCATCAGGTGTAGTAATCAGTGATTAATTCCCCTTTACAGATTCAGGTTCTTAGTTTCATGTCTTTAAAAAAAAAAAAAAAAAAAAAAAAGCTCCTCTGTTTTATAGGCACAAATAAAAATGTATATTTTTAAAAGCTTATGTTGAAATAAAAATAATAAAATCAGAAACCACAAAATATCTTTAACACACAAGTACCCTCTTAGGAAATGGATACTGTTCACAGTAAGTGCCAACACTATTAAACAGTGACTTTGTTTTACAGTTAAACCTTCCCGCACCAAAACACAGATAAAAGATAAATGTGCAAAAGAAATGATCAGTGTCGCTTATTTTGTGCCCTCTGAGGTTGGCAGTCCACATGTTCCAGTGTCCAGGGTTTACATCCATTCGTTTCTGTGGGTACTTTTAATTTCGGCTTCGTTTGGGCTGAAGCTTTACAGGCTGCTGTTTGCTGACGTTTTCCTCCCACTCATAGCAGTGGTTCACCCGAGCATAGCTCAGCAGACATGGCAGCTCGTCCTCAGTCTCTGTGTAGTGCTCAATCAGCTCAGCCATGGAATTGAATTCAGTCTTGCATTTCTACATTTATAAAAATAAATAAATTAAAAAAGACACCAGTTACACATGATTATAAATCAACTATGACATTTCTAATCAAATACAAACAATTATTATGGTTTTCGAGAATAATATTGTCAATTAAGGTGGTTGCCAAGTGGAAACCTCCCGTGCAGTTCCCCAAAAAGCCACTTGAGGGCTCTAGTTAAAAACAGACTGTATAAAATTTGGAAGTCACCCACTATAAAGTCCTAATGTACAGGATAGCCTCAAGCTTAATGTTTTTGACCATAACATTTTAACATCACACGGAAACAAACACCCCTTGCTCTCCACCGCACTCCTAATATCAACATTTCATAAAAAGTAAAAAAATAAATAAAAATCCATGTTTCAGTAAATGTGAACTGAAACTACCAACTGAGCCCCAAATCTTCTTACTGATGTCATAGAGTGAAAGAGTTTAGGGCAATTTTATCCACAGACCTCAATTTAATTGGAAGTCGCTGCAACTAGAGCTGCCGCCCTCTGCTGGCCATTATAGGGAATGCGTATTTAAAGCACTTCCACATATCTCCCCCCCCACGACCCCCTTCCTTTTCTATCATTTATGAAAAATATAAGAGCTTGTGAAAATAAAGTAACCAGTGAAAGAGATTAGATTTAATCATAATCTGGTTTTCACATCATGTATATGAGCCAACAAAAGAATTACCTCGAGCACGAATTTCCCTTTACGGGTGTTTTCAATAAGGTGGGTGATCGGGCCAGAGGAGAAGCGAATGATTAGAGAGCCACATTTAGGGTTTTTTGGATGTTGGCACAAAAGGTAGGATCCCAGAACATCATCTGCAAGCAGTGAATAGCTGCTCTCACTGCAATACCAAGAAGGAAAATCACAGATGTAGTAACAGGAAAGTGACACTTATGAATGTAAAGATGTATTTGATGTGCGATATACTAACGTTGCGATACCAGCCCAACACCACACTGCCTGAGCTAGTGCCTCTTCTGTTTCAGACAAGCTTGGAGCCCGGGATCGCCTCGCTGGCAACTTGTCTAGATCCTTTTCTGGTTTTGATATAATAAGAGAAATAATGTAAAGTTAGATTTTATAAAGGTGGAATATTGCATCACCATGTGACGGGGAAGAAGCATCCCAGATGATCTCAACTCAGTGGACGCTATGCAGTGATGATGATGAAAGAACCCCTCAAAAACAAAGAAACATATTCAACTTTAAAAAGGAACATTAGTAACAGAAATAAAATGTAAGCGCTGTAGGAATGCACAATTACCCATATGAGATGAAATCACTTCATCATGCAGACTAAAATAAAAAAAACAAAACAAAGAAAAGCCCTGACACCACAGCAGTGACTGCCCTTCACCAAATACTGATGAAGTCGCTTTACCTAATCAATTCTTTGAACCTCGATAGCGCTCTGTGAACACTCGGCCCACCTTGAGTTACACTCAGTTGATCCTGAATGGTGCGCTGTTTGCGTGGCGTGAAAGTGAAGGAGCGGTAAGCACCAGAGCGCAGCACTTTGGTGCGTATGACTTTCTTGCGCATCAGGGAGGGAGAGGAGATGGGAAAGACCTCATCTTGGCTGCTTTGTTGGTCATCTGAAGACTTTGGAGTTTTCTGTAGAGAAAACATCACATAGTTTGTACAGATAATTTTAATTTTGAGGCATACATTTTGAAACTGCAGTGCTGTGCAAAAACTTGGGTGCGGTAATTTTTGAAGACATGGGTAAACTTACATTGAAATACAATATATAAAGAGGCAAAACCATTGCAACATTTACTAACAAACTAACATTTAAATTAGTCCATGAGATTTTGGGTGAAGTTAAAAAAAGAAAAAAAGAATAGCCAAACCTTAGTGCCAGGTAATAATCCACCAAAAGGAGCTCTTCTGAATGAAACCAGGGCGCTGACACTAAGAGGAAAGCCGTGATTGAGCAGTGAAGGCTTGCGATGAGGCAGTGAGCCAGCAGAGTCTATCTGGGCCTCTTCTGGATGCTTCTCCAAGTACGACAGCTGGAAGCAGCGGCACAGCAGCAGGTTCAGGAACTGGGCCTAAAGGAGGAAGGGTGCATACAGAAAACGTAGCAGTTAAACTGAAACAGTGTTATTCTGTGTCATATTGCAGTAATTCATCAAGTAAATTATTAACAGTACAACGGCACTGATAAAAACTTAGCGCTTCAACACCACAGCTGACACCGTTTAGTCAAGCACAGGCATCTCGCAGAGATGAGGCAACTGCAGTGTCATAGTATTGCCGACCTCTCCATGTTGGAACAAGTCTCGCTGCTAACTACAATGCGGTGAGACTGGCTCAAAACAATTGAATGCTACCAGATCCACCAGTAGAGGCACCTATTATTGTGTCACACAGGAAGCTTGGCTTCAAGGGTGACTTCTGAAGATACAACAGTCGGTTGGGATCAGATCTGAATTTAGCACAGAAAGGAATTTGTTATCAAAGATCAATAAGCACATTTCCCATCACTCTCTAGTCCAAACCTGTGTGACACTGGAGGGTTTTATTTGGAGTTACCATGGCAAACTGTTCAGTACTGACCACATTTATTGGATTTAATTTCCTCTAATGTGTCAAAAGCTTCTGATAACAACAGAAATGTTAGCTTTATATTATATCGGCATTACTTCCCTACTCTGGGCTGCTCTAAAATAGTTTGCCTATCAAGATAACGAGAACGGAAATATGGACTCAGTTTCAGTGACACCATTAACGCAAACCTCTAATGTAAACTTTAAAAGGTTGTTCTCGTTCTCACGTCATTTAAACACGTGACCATTTTAATCCTTTTAAAGAATCGCTGTCAAAACCCCGCAACTATTTCAGGCACGGACCAAAACTATGCAAACATGTAGCTTGGAAACTTTCTATGATAACAGACTTGAAAAACAGAGAATAGAAAGAAGACGAAGTAAACTGCTAAGTACGACACAAGTAAAAAGCTAAATCACAATGCTGCTAACGCTTTTTAGATCGCCTTTGCTCTGCTCCTCTGAGATAAAACAATGCTCCTTCAAGTTGACTTCTGTTTCAGGGAAGAGGGTGAAGTCCCAGCGAGCCAAATCTGGCAAGTAGAGCAAAAATGTGTTGGTCTGGCCTCAAACCTCCGGTCAGTGCACCATGAGTGGACACACAATGTCAAATTTTCTTCCTCTGTCTGGAGAAGTTACATATTATGCATTTTGAAAAAAGAAAGAAAAAAAAAACAAAACTCTTGCATTGTTTGATTTCTGGGTCGTAGCCCATCATCACCTCTGGTAATGATTCGGCATATAATAGTTTGAAATGTCTGGTAAGCGACATGGTGATATCACAAAACACACATGTTCAAGCAGTCAGGACAGGCCTTCCACCGAGTGCAAGTAGTGCCAGAAGCAGCCCATAGGTGCACACAGAGATAACCTTGAATGGGGTTGCAGCTAAAGTATAGTCAGTCATTGTTTCTGCTTTTTGTGAGCAGAGTTGGAACACCTTTAATCACACACTTTAAAATATACTGTGCTTGACAGAAGGACTTTCTGTCCAGCATGGGAAAGCGGCAGGGTTGTTATTTGTGAGTAAACAGAAAGCCTTAAATACATATTTACTGCGAGCTCTAACTATAACAGAACAATGGAGAATCCTTACTGCTCTGGCGTGCCTTGCTTTAAAGACATGGCAGTAGAGCTGGGTGTCTGGGCAGCCTGGGTTATGCGCGACAAAGGCAAACTGTGAATCGACGGGTCGGGCCGTGGAAAGAGAGATTCTCCGCAGAGCGTGGGCCATCAGGAGGATCTGCACACAGGGACAGGTCGCGAGCAATAAGGCCCGAAAAGGAGAGCGACGTAAACGGGTCAAAACAAATTAACTGTCATTTTCTCTACTTACCGTTTCATCCTCATTATACATTTTCACACCTTTAATGGAAAACTTTAGGGACACTGGCCGTCTTGTCTTGTATGCCTAAATGAATACAGGACTGCATTAGGTACAGTCGTTATCATCACATTCGTAGGTTTAGATAGAAAGATAAAGACTCACTTTAAGGGACTTCAACTGTGTGTGCAGCTGCTTAATCTGGTCATCCAAACAGTTGTCATCCACAGGAAATGAGCCTACATACTTCACCAGTGAAGACAGGAGGTTAAGCAAACACTCACACAGACACACAAATGCAAAGTCATATTTCCAGACATACCTCTGCTGATCGTGTCACTGTACTATCTTCTCTGACCGGTGCCTCACCCATCGTGCCCTGTGGAAATACGAGATTTCAACACTTGAAGTCCCGAGAATTTAGGACTCCAAGCAGCAGAGTGAAGGAGATTTAAAAACAAGTTG